GCAGACCATTAGACATCATTAAAAATAAAGCAAAAATTGCACACAATGTTGAGCATATTTGTAATTGGCTTACTACCTACAGTCATGAATGACCTATGAAAATATAGGAGAGTAAGAATTTAAATACTGCCCTATTATTGTATTGAGTTTCTTATAACTATTTCACTTTTAGAACTGTAATCCCAACTGTTTCCATATCTTCTACCAACATTTGCTTAATTAATGGAAATTTTGTTATTGTAATTAAAAAATAAATATATAACAAGTATACTTCTAAATGCATTTCTAAATGCATTTTCAATCACATGGCATAGGAAGGCATATTAAGTTGCTAATATATATTTAATTTTCATTTTTTAAACATTCTAGAGAAATTTGAGAAAGAAAGAAGGAACACACAAGTCAAAGTATGGCTAAGGCACATCTTTTCAATCACATTTTGGTTAATCTCTAATATATCTGTTATAATATTAACTTAAAGTCTTTCAAGTTTGATATTCCATACCACTTTTACATCTATTCCATTTAAGTAGATTATCTTCCTCCTATTTTTCTAGGAATATTAAGATAACCTATCATGAGTTTATTCAACTTCCTTAAACCTCTTACTCATTCACCCAGTCATTCAAAAAACAGTCAGAGCCACTGTGTAGATAAGGGAATTGAAAAATGAGAAGATTCTCTTTTCCTTCAGAAAACACACATACTGAATAGGGGAGAAAGAGACATTCACAAAGAAAGGGGATATAGCTATAGAATACAGGGCTATAAAAGGCTATAAAAGTATAGACACATTGCCCTGGAGGTTCAGGAAAACCTTCAAAGGATTAATTTTCAAGATAAGGTTTAAGAGAATAAAAAGAACTGGACCACAAAAAAAATAAATAAATAAAATAAAATCCCACAATGGAAACAAGCCGTAAAAATTGAATATCACAAAATAAGAATGGCAAAAATAGGGAGAGGGTATGAAGGCAATTTGATCATGTCCCCATTTGTTGAATGCCTACCACAGTGCTTCACACAGACCTGAACTACTACAGTGAATCCTGTGAAGTAACTATGTCATTCAAGGCCAATTGGTAGAATTCTATTTAATTAACAGAATTCAAACCCAAATCTATACAATCAATAACAAACAAAGCTAGGTCCCCTATTTAAGGCAAAATAAAATAAAAATAAAATTCTAAAGCTATCAATCTATTTCCATTTCAAATCATGAAATAATTTCAGCATTCTGTCTTTTCAAAATAATGGCATGGCATATTCAGTTACCTTAACTACATATGGCAATGTCCTCCACTCTCGCCCTCACAGAGGATCAACTTAAGGAAATAAGTGGCCAAGGAACAAGGCTTAAAACATCACATTTGATGCACTCATCCTAACCACCAGCTGTTCCACAGGAATTTCAGAATGCAATCAAAACATGCAACCAATGCTACACCTCCATTCTCTTCTCTTCTGAATGTTCTTCTAGGGGGTAGGAAAGGGGAGGGGAGGAAGAGCACAAGGGACTATGGTGATAGTTCACAGGTGTTATGGTGGTGGGTGTTACAGGGACCACACCTGAAGAGATAATAATGATGTAAGAAAATAAATTATAAAAACAAATTTAAAAAATGAATAAATGAGTAAATGTTCTTCAATGCTAATTTAGAAAACTATAAACCACTTTCTCTTCATTGGTACACTCAACACTGGTCTCTGATAACTCTCAGTTCCAGTTATAATTAATGAAGATTCACATTCCAGTACACCAGCTCAACTGTCATTGTTTCACATGTACCAACTGACAATAATTGTTTGGGAAGGCAAGGGACAATGATATAGAAAATAACTATAGAGAATTACTAGGACAAACTTTCCTCTCTTATATATCATTTCTCAAGTCATGTGAGTGTAAGAATGACAATTAAGAAGATGGAAGGAAAAAAGGTACTTTTCAACATCCCTGAAACTGAGTCACCCCAGAATATTGTCTTTTATCACTTAAGTCCTGGTCATCTATTCTTTATAATTTCTTCCTATTTTAAAGAGGGAATCACATTTCACCATTGCTGTTCAAAACTAAATCTCTTCTCATTGGCTTATAGAGAGAAATACGCATAAACTGAATATTCCTAAAAGTCCTATAAAATAAGGAAATCAAACTTCTAATACTTCAAATGTGTTAGACTTCCAAAAAACCTCAGTACATTTAAATTCACATAACAAAGGTAAAACTTTAACAAGAAAATTAGTTTTATCGTTTGTTTTAATAAGTATAGCTGCATCTTCACAAGTTAGTATAATATCAACATATATTTATTCTACTTGGCCTCATTTTTCCTAAAACTTATATAGGTTTACTAAACAAACTAACATGATATAATGGATAAGGTTATTTTAAAAATGCACACTTCCACTCAACTAAATTGAATCATTGTTGTGGTAAATTTTATTTCAACAGCTACATTTGCTAATATAACCACTTAGACACAGTTTCCAAAACCTTAGGTAACCAAAATATTTTATATTAAATTTATGTATAGTCATTGTATGTTTAGGTGATTTCTAAGATCAAATATTAAAACATTGATTTACTGAGCATAATTGAATGTATACCTATTTTTGTGTGCTATAAAGAAGCTATACATTTGGGAAGTTCTCTTCAATTATCTCCTGGAATATTTTCTCTGTTCCTACATCTCTCTCCTCTCCTTCTGGAATTCGTATAACTCTTATATTTCCTTTCCTCATGCAGTCAGATAGTTCTCGAAGTCTTTCTTCATTCTTTTTCCTTCGTACTTCTCTTTCCTTTTCTGTTTTGGTTCTTTTTATTTCTGTGTCTTCAAGAGAACTTATTCGTTCTTCCATTTCATCTATTCTGCTTTCCTTGCTTTTCCCGGAGTTCTTTAGTTCCTCCATTAATTCTTTGATCTCCTGCATTTCTTTTACTTCCCTCTTTAGGGACTCAATTTCATTCTTCTGACCATTGTTTTCCCTCTTTAGGGACTCAATTTCCTTCTTCTGATCTATCACTTTTTTAATCATGGCAATTTTAAATTCTCTTTCTGGAAGGCTCAGAAGTTCTTCCAATTTGCTGTCGTTGCAATCTGGGGAGTGGTTTTCTTTTTGTGGTGTGCTTCTTTCCTGAGGAGTTGTTAGGTTGCGTGTGGTTCTTCTACTCCCTACTGTCTGTTTTCTAATTTGTCGTATGCGTTGGGACACTGTGATGCTCGGACTGACTGGCATCTTGGGTGAACTTCTCCGCTCCCCTCTGGCTCTTCCAGGAGCCATCTCTGCCTTCTGGGGGAGCTTTCTGCTGGTTTTAGGCAGTTTTACTGAAGAAATGTCCCTGTTCTCAAATGGCGAAGCGGGATGCAGTCCCTGCGCCTCCGGTTTCAGGCACACTCTTCTGCGCACCCGGTCTGCCCCGGACGTGGGTGCCTGCTCCCTCTGTGGGCTCAGACTGCTGGTCGGAAGGGGCCTGGCATGGAATAACTTCCCGGCTGGCCACTGCAGAAGCCTTCTGCCCTTTTCAAGCAGTCTTAAGAAATTTCCTGTTCTATGGGGTGTTAGTGACTTTTTTTTTCCTGGTCACTAGGTGGCGCCAGAGATCTCTCCTATTGTCCTTGGGGGGCTGTTTTTCGTCCCCCCCACCCCGTGGGACAGGGAACAGAGCGGGAATGGTAGGGTACGAAACACTACGTGATTTGCACATCAAAGACATCTTTACAGACACATCACCCAAAGCAGTGATAGTGAAGACAAAGATAAACAGCTGGGACTACATCAAATTAAAGAGCTTCTGCACAGCAAAAGAGACAATAACAAAAACAAAGAGAAACCCCACCAACTGGGAGAACATTTTTGCACCCAACACTAATGATAAAGGACTGATCACAAAAATCTGCAAAGAGCTAATGAGACTCAGCAACAACAAAGAAAATAATCCAGTCAAAAAATGGGCAGAAGAGCTAAAAAGAAACTTCTCTGAAGAGGAAATGCAAATGGCCAACAGACATATGAAAAAATGTTCAACATCACTCGCAATCAGGGAAATGCAAATCAAAACTACCATGAGATACCATCTCACACCAGTGAGAATGGCACATATTAAAAAAACTAGCAACAACAAATGTTGGCGAGGATGTGGAGAAAAAGGAACTCTTCTGCACTGTTGGTGGGAGTGCAAACTGGTCCAACCACTATGGAGAGTTGTGTGGAGATTTCTGGACCTACTAAACATAGAGCTTCCATATGATCCAGCAATTCCACTCCTAGGTATTTACCCAAAGGACACAGAAACATCAATTCCAAAGAGCACCTGCACCCCTATGTTTATAGCAGCACTGTTTACAATAGCTAAGCTTTGGAAACAACCCAAATGCCCAAAAGTAGATGACTGGATCAAGAAGATGTGGTACATATATACCATGGAATATTACTCAGCATTCAAAAAAGATAAACACATGCAATTTGCAGCAACATGGATGGCGCTGGAAGGGATCATGCTCAGCGAAATAAGCCAAAAAGAAAAAGAAAAATACCGGATGGTCTCACTCATAGCAGGAATCTAGAAAACTTAAATAAGGGACCAGGAAAATGAATAACTATAAGAAAGTGAAAATCAAAATCAACAAAAAACTATGAACCAGAGACACTTTTAGGCGGGCGGGGGCGGGAAGTGAGGGATTGGGGTCAGAATGGGGGGCTGCAATTGTATGGGGAATATAACAATAAAATTTATAAAAAAAAAATAAAAAAATAAAAAAAAATAAAATTAAAAAAAAAAAAGAATTACAAGAAATAAACTGTGATACCTTTAAAAAAAAAAAAGGTATAAAAATATGATGAAACATATTTACTTGGTAACATTTAAAGCACACTTTTTTTATTCAGTTGTTCAAGAAAAAATAGCTACAGTAATTCATGTGTAGTAATAGCAGCGGAAGTAATAGTAATAATCAGAAGATTCCAATTTTTAAATGCTTTTAAAATTATGTGAATCCAACCTGGTCTCCAAAGTCCTCTGGAAATTTCCACAGTACCTCCGGATCTGTAAATAATCGACATTCAGCATTAAACAGTGTCAAAAACAAATAAACATAAAGCAACAGACTGATTAAAATACTCAATACTATCAAAGCTACTTTTATTTTATAATTTAATTTTTTCTTTAAATATTTATAGTTGATGAACCAGAGACACACTATGGGGGTGGTGGGGAAAGGAGGGACTGGAGTCAAAATAAGGGGGTTGCAATTGTATGGGGAATATAAAAATAAAATTAAAAAAATAAATATTTAAAGTCCGGGGGGCGGAGCAACATGGCGGCTAGGAGACACTGCGAGTAAGATCTCCCATTAAAAAAAGTTAATAGGGAGGAAAAGCGGCAGGTCCCAGTGAGAACCGGGACACGGAAGATAAACAGACGACTCCAGCAAACTGCCCGAAGAAGAAAGTGGCCATAAAAGAGGACCAGAAGGGAGGGAAGCGCAGAACCCTGCTCCCCTCCCCCGCCCACAGAGGCGGCACTCTCCGACCCGCAGAGAGGAGGAAAACAACAAACTAAAACTGCCAACAAGAACAAAGGACGCAGCAAGCGGGACTGTGAGTGGAAAGGAACTATTGCAGCCACCACACCCTGTGAACGGGAGCTGTGGAGAACCCCCTCAGGATCCGCCACGGAGGTGAGCTCCGGGCTCCATTGAAGAGAGCCCCGCCCAGGAGGAGACCAGCACCAGCACACAGCCCCGGCCGCCCGGTAAGCCTGCAGGGAAAGGCGGCGCGCTGGAAAAACAGACTCAGAGCAGGATTGTGCGGGGAAAGCAGCGCGGATTGCGCGGATCAGATCGCAGCTGCCCAGGTCCCCGCGCCTGCGACCTAGGCTTGCGGGGAGACGACCTAGGCTTGCGGGGAGACGCGCGGAGGCCCTCCCGGAGTGAGCAGGAACCAGGCGCCCAGGCAGGGGAGCGGGATTCAAAAGGCGCCATTCCCGCGCCACTGATCTGGGCTACAGCCCGCGTCCTGGAACTGAGAGCTTTGGAACTGAGACCCGGGGCACGAAATTAGGGGCGTGGGTTCCCCACGACGGTGGGGCACAAGGCAGACACAGCACCCCAAAGCCGTTGAGGTGTACCCTACCATCCCTGCTCTGCTCCCTGTGCCACTGGGTGGAAAATCAGCTCCCCAAGGGCTCCAGGAGAGATCTCTGGCGCCACCTAGCGACTTGAAGCCAGCAGAGGCTCCTGAAGGAGCTAGTGGCCAGCTGGGGAGTTAGCCCACACCGGGCCCCTTCTGAACAAGTAGTCTGAGCCCACAGGGAGAGCGAGCACCCACAGCCGGGGCAGACCAAGCGCACAGAAGAGTGTGCCTGAGACCGGACACGCAGGGAGTGTGTCCCACATCACCATTATAGAATAGGGACATTTCTTCAGTAAAGACTACCTGCAGAAGGCTTCCTCAGGAGCCAGAGGTGAGCGGGGGAAGTTCACCCACGCCAGACCCCCTCTGGCCTGCAGTCCAAGCCCAGAGGGGGAGCAGAAACCCACCGCCGGGGCAGACCAGACGCACAGGGGAGTGTGTCCCCACATTGGCATTTTATAACAGGGATCTTTCTCCAGTAAAGACTGCTTGAAACTGACAGATGACTCCTGGAGGAACCAGAGGGGAGCAGAGAAGCCCACCCAAGATGCCGGCCAGTCCCAACTACACAATGTCCCAACGCATACGGCAAATTAGAAAACAGACAGTAGGGAGGAGAAGAACCACACGCAACCTAGCAACTCTCCAGAGAAAAAGCACACCATAAAAAGAAAACCAGCCCCCAGATGGCAACGACAGTAACTTGGAAGAACTTCTGAGCCTTCCAGAAAGAGAATTTAAAATTGCCGTGATTAAAAAACTGACAGAAGTCATAAAGGAAAACAATGATAAGGGAAAAATAATCAACGATCAGAAGAATGAAATTGAGTCCCTAAAGAGGGAAGTAAAAGAAATGCAGGAGATCAAAGAATTAATGGAAGAACTAAAGAATTCTGGGAAAAGCAATGAAAGCAGAATTGATGAAATGGAAGAACGAATAAGTACTCTTGAAGACACAGAAATAAAAAGAACCAAAACAGAAAAGGAAAGAGAAGTACGAAGGAAAAAGAATGAAGAAAGACTTCGGGAACTATCTGACTCCATGAGGAAAGGAAATATAAGAGTTATAGGAATACCAGAAGGAGAGGAGAGAGAAGTAGGAACAGAGAAAATATTCAAAGAGATAATTGAAGAGAACTTCCCAAATGTGAAGGAGGAGCTGAAAATTGATATACAAGAAGCAAGAAGAACACCAAACTTCCACGACGAAAGGAAAAATACAGCAAGACACATAATAGTAAAGCTCCCAAGAATCCAGGACAAGGAAAAAATAATGAAGCTGGCAAGAGGGAAGAAACAGATAACATTCAAAGGAAAGCCAATCAGGCTGACATCAGACTTCTCCGAAGAAACACTACGGGCAAGGAGAGAGTGGAGGGACATAGTCAACAGACTCCAAGAAAACAGATGCCAACCAAGAATACTCTATCCCGCAAAGCTCTCCTTCCTCTTTGAAGAAAGAATATGGACTTTCCCAGACAAACAGAAACTCCGGAATTTCATTGCAACTAAACCCCCACTCCAAAAAATACTACAAGGAGTCCTAAAGCCAGAACCTCAGAGGGACGAATAACAATGAAAGAAGGCCAAAAAAAAAAAAAAGTTATTAAAAGAATAAATAAATAAAATCAAAGGAAAGACAAACACAATGGCAAATACAGATGTTAACATATCAATATTAACTCTAAATGTAAATGGACTAAACTCTTCAATAAAAAGACACAGAGTTGCAGCCTGGATTAAGAAACAAAACCCAACCTTTTGCTGTCTCCAGGAAACACATTTAGCTATAAAGATAAAAATAGGCTCAAAGTTAAAGGATGGAAAACAATCCTACAAGCAAATGGACCAAAAAAGAAAGCAGGAACAGCTATACTTATATCAGATAAAACAGATTTCAAACTCAAAAAGATAAAAAGAGACCCCAATGGTCACTACATTATGATCAAGGGGACAATACTTCAAGAAGAAATAACACTCATTAACATATACTCACCAAACGAAGGAGCACCAAAATATATCAGACAACTGTTGTCCTCTCTGAAAACAGACATCAGAGAAAACACATACGAGTGGGAGACTTCAACACACCACTATCAACAATGGATAGGTCAACAAGACAAAAAATAAGTGAAGAAACCAAAGCTCTAAATAAGGACCTAGAGCAATTGGGCTTAACAGACATCTATAGAACACTAAACCCCAAAAAAACGGAGTACACATTTTTCTCAAGCGCACACGGATCATTCTCCAGGATCGATCACATACTGGGGCACAAGACAAACATCAACAGATACACCAAGATTGAAATCATATCAACCATCTTTTCTGACCATGAAGGCATCAAACTAGAAATAAACCATAAAAAGAAGGCAAGGAACTTTCCTACCTCATGGAGATTAAAAACCACACTACTGGAAGACCACTGGACTAATGAGGAGATGAAAGAAGAAATTAAAAAATTGTTTGAATTGAACGACAAGGAGGACACCAATATCCTAAATGTATGGGATGCAGCAAAAGCAGTAATAAGAGGAAAATATATAGCAATAGAAGCTCACATCAAGAAACAAGAAAGAACTCAAAGAAACAACCTAATCTCGAAGCTCAAAGATCTAGAAAAAGAACAACAAAAAAAACCCCAAAACCAGTAGAAGAAAAGAAATAATAAAAACCAAAGCAGAAATAAATGAAATTGAAACTAAAAAAACAATCCAAAAGATCAATGAAACCAAGAGCTGGTTCTTTGAAAAATCAATAAAGTAGACAAACCTCTAGCCAGGCTCACAAAGGAAAAAAGGGAGAAAGCACAAATAAACAGGATCATCAATGAAAGAGGAGAAATCACAACGGACACAGCAGAAATCAAAAGAATAATCAGTAACTACTATGAACAGTTATATGGAAACAAGTTTAACAATCTAGAGGAGATGGACAAATTCCTACAACTCTACAATCACCCAAAGCTAGATAAAGAAGAAATAGAACACCTAAACAGACCAATTACAATTAGCGAAATTGAAATGATAATCAAAAACCTCCCCAAAAACAAAAGCCCAGGACCTGATGGATTTACAAATGAATTCTACCAAACATTCAGAGACGAATTAGTGCCTATCCTTCACAAACTCTTCCAAAAAATTGAGAAGGAAGGGACAATACCAAACACGTTCTATGAAGCCAACATTACACTAATACCAAAACCGAACAAGGACAACACAAAAAAGGAAAACTACAGGCCAATCTCCCTAATGAACACTGATGCAAAAATCCTCAATAAAATTTTAGCCATCAGAATCCAACAATGTATCCATAAGATAATTCACCACGACCAAGTAGGATTCATTCCAGGGACACAAGGATGGTTTAACATCCGAAAATCAATCAACGTTATCCAACACATCAACAAAAAGAAATATAAAAACCATATGATAATATCAATAGATGCTGAGAAAGCTTAGACAAAGTGCAACACCCATTCATGATAAAGCCCTTGAAATTCTTGGGATACAAGGAACATACCTTAACATCATAAAGGCCATCTATGACAAGCCAACAGCCAGTATCATTCTCAATGGTGAAAAGCTGAAAGCAATTCCATTAAGATCTGGAACAAGACAAGGATGTCCACTCTCACCACTGCTTTCAATATATACTGGAAGTCCTAGCCAGGGCAATAAGACAAGAGAAAGACATCCAAGGAATCCAAATAGGAAAAGAAGAAGTCAAACTATCACTATTTGCAGATGATATGATATTATACATAGAGAACCCCAAAAACTCCACAGAAAAGCTAATTCAACTCATCAATCAGTTCAGTAAAGTGGCAGGATACAAAATCAACACGCAAAAGTCAGTAGCCTTCCTATACACAAACAATAAATCTGAAGAAGAAGAAATCAAAAAAAACCA